ATATAAAATAATATTAGAGTAGAGCAGTCAATCAGTGAGCATAAATGTTAATGGCTGACAATCCTCACATTTACTGCATGGAGGAATCAAAATTTGGATGTTTGTATGTTGGGGGTGATATCTCTGAGTGGCATAGGCCTTTAGGTATCCAGTTAAAAAGAAACCTGTCTTGAATGGTTTGAACTGTTAAAAGTGATGCAAGTATGCACTTGAATGTCATGCATTTCCAGCGTGTTCTTGCTGCTGTAGTGGGCTGTACCATTCCCTTTATAGCAGCACTCTCTCTAGTTTCTGCTATGTTCCTAAAACAGAACAAACTGCCAGTGTAATCCATGAGCCTTCCTGCTCCCTGCCCTGAAAAACATTGCCAAAGCTAAAAAGGGAAAATGCTTCCAGCAGGGACTCCAGAATTACTGATGAGATGAGAATTTATACTCTGGGCTGTTAATCCGCTGTTGCAGCCTAAAACACAAGAACACAAAAAATGTAAGCACAGTGATAGGATGGTTTGGCAGCTTTCCTGTGACAATGATATCTCAAGAAATAATCTGGATGCAGTGTGGGACAACGCAGAGTAGGATTATTAATCTTACTGAGCTGCACAGTTATGAGTCATGCCGGCTCTCAAGCAAAGAGGTTTGTGTGGTAAAGTAGTTATATCATGAAAGGTGCTGGCTGGAGCTGAGGGAGGGCATTAGTTTTATTTGTGGTGATTGCTTCTGAGATCATTAGCGCTGGAGTAAATGTGGAGTGAAGTGCGTATTCTGTTTGCAACCGGCCTTGATTTATGGGAGAGGGTTTTCTATAATCGGTTTTGCACAATCCTAGATCTTGCATGCTGTACTGGAAGAATGTTTATTTTGCTTTGGTTATTTTAGCTCATTATTTAATCATTATTGTTTTAATATTAAACCTCTCCCTCTACAACTGTATTTGGGTTTTTTAAATAAATAATCCTCTGATAATACACAATATGCTTCAGAATCACCTTTTCATCTGCGGTTTCCATTGTAATGTGTTGATGGCTATAGAATGGGAATGCCTGGCTACCACATAGAGATGCAAAATTTTGAACAAAAACGTGAAGGCTTGTTGGGGCCTTTCTAAAGATTTGACCTTTAAAAATCTTCATCCGGAGTTAAGACTTTCTTCCTTCCTGGCATAGCGATAAATCCTCCCACTTTCACTGCATTAGGGAAGAGAACTGAATCACGGTTTTGAATCAAATGCTTGGGAATTGGCCCAAGCTCAAACTGGTTGCTTACGTGCTCTTTTCCCATTTTGTTTCATTTGCAGAATTTGAGTAAAGGCTAAAAGGTAAAGGAAAAAAGCCTGAAAAGCGCTCTCAGTGTTTTTGTGAAAGCAGGCAGATTACTTGCCACGTAGAGAAAGCTAGGTCTTTTCAGGGCCTGTATTATATCTTAAAAAGCACCAAGTCCTACAGGGTTAATGGACAGGAAACTGCAGCTGCAGCCGGCTAATACGGAAGTCAGATTTTTGTGTAAGAGCCAGCCTGAGCAGGCCGGGAGGTGGGGGCCGGGGGGAGCCTGAGAGCACAGCATCTGCTGTGGTACCGGTATTTTTGGTTATGCTCTGCAGCGTTTTTATAAACAGGGAGGGCATGCACTGAATGGCAGCAACCCTCTGTGATAATGCACTTTCAGCTGTGTAATAGTTTTTGTGGAAATGAGACATGAAGTTTTTCCCATTGAAGTCTCGGCTTATCATAGTAGCTAAAGAAATCACACAGCCCGTATGTGGTTGCTACGGTAGGTGTTAATATATTTAAATGCCGGAACAGGAGAATTCTCTCAGAATTTTCAGTTATTCGTCTCAGTCCCTCCTGTGCATGTTCACTTTCGGTACGTTTTGCTCTCTTTCCGTGGCCTTGCTTTCTCCGTGCGACACGTTGCAGGACACCAGCAAAGTGAATTTAGCTTTTTGCTTATAAAGAACAGCTTTTGTGACCTGGGCGAACTCTTCCTCCTTCAGGTTTGAAACACCCCAACGCCTTCAGTAATGGCACCTTGAGAGGCGCTTGCTCAGGCGGGCGGTTCGCGATCACTCGCCTCGGCTGGCAAATCTGTGGGGTTGATACGGGGAGCGCACATTTGGGGTTTCTTTCCACGTTTCCTTTGCCGAAACGGGCCTAGCTTAGCCTGTCTTCTCTATGCACAGGATGGCTCCTGCTTGCCAGAGCTGCACAAAGATAATCGCTCAGGAAGTGTGTCAGCCAATCCCCTGAAGCTTTACATTCAGATTTACCAAAGTAGCCAATCCGGGATTAGCTTTTATTAGGAAGACAGATCATCAAGCCGAAGTGCCAAGCCCTTTCTGCCTGAGTACTGAGAGCCTGTCCTCCATGTTTTATAAGTATTGACATAACACTGTGTTAACAATGCATCCACAGAGGTAAGCCTGACTTTTTACATTTTTTTTTCTCTAAGGCCTATGAGTTGTGGGTTGAGAGCGTGATTCTCTGTGATTTGTTGTGCAAAACTCACACCACAGCACTTTATTAAGTTGGAACTGTTTAAATTTGCTTTCTTGGGTCACATGGTTAGTAGCCATTAGCCACAGCTTTATTTTGCAGCCTGGCAAAACCTTGGCATACCTACTTCTTCACAGGAGGATGGTGTTTTTAGAGTTTATCAAGATCCCGGTGTTCCAAAGCAGCTTTCTCTCTCTGAGCAGTTTGCCAGCACTATTGTCTGTTGTGTCACATGCCTGCTGAAGAGAAAATGGAAGCTAGGGAGCAGATGCATTTAACTGCCCTACAGGGAGTCAAGCAGGGATAATGGCAGACAGAAGAACAGGCAAGTTTACCTTTCTAAACAGTGAATGGAATAGCTAAGATAAGTTATCTCTGAGAAAATATGGGATTTTTAAAAACCTAGACAGCAGCAAAAAGTGCTAATGGCAGATTGTAGATATTGGGCCTAGGTGGTGGTGTGCTGTTGCATCATGTTTTTTATGCAGCTTATCTTAACTTAAAATGATTATTGAACCTTTTTTCTTGCAGGAGTAATTAATACAACGTGTTTCTCTTTCTGAGGGACAATGTATGGTTAATATTTTGTTCCTTTAAAAGGGAGTTTTTATGCTGCAGATTTTGGAAATGGGTTGCTGCTCAATAAAATGCAGCAGTACATCTGTTTACAAATCTGATTCTTTATGGAAAATGTTTTTGAACTGTTAGCTTTCTTGTTTTATATAGTTCAAATAAACTAATGTACCTTTTATCTGTGCCTTTTTGTTTTACACTGTGTCAGCCACAGTTCTGTGTTGTGCAGTCCAGAGGATATAAAATCATGTGTGGTTCATGACAGTAGTACATGTTGTTCGTTCTTGGTTTTTTCCTTTTTTTTTTTTTTTTTTAAACTTTTGGTTTAATGCTACGTAATTATTTCAAGAAATTCCTTTTTGATCAATTCTCAAATCTGCCAGCCTGTTGTATCTTCTTAACTGGAAAAATGAGATGGGTGCTTGAACAGTTGGTAAGTAAGCAGCATGCTACTCTCTGAACATTTTTAATAGTTTTCCAAACATTTTGTTTTTACTGGGTCAGTTAGTCCAGTAGATGAAGTAATGTTAGTGGTTAGTCATATAAAAAATCAGATTTGCTTAGCGTCCATTTTAAGGGACTTGTACATGTAAACTGTTCCAATTTGAATGCACTATTTTTTTGATAATTTGCCTCTAAAGTTTGAAGCTTATACTTCCTGTTTACCTCAGGCCAGTGAAATATACTCTACTTGCTGTTTGTTCGTAGATCATTAATTACCATGTTTGTACGGTAAAGCGCATTTTTGTTGTTCCTTAGGCTTCTGAGGTGTGATGAAAGTGCTAGTACTCAGCAATGGAGTGACCTTATGAAGTAAAGTAAATAATGTTTAATGAGCATATGTTTCTGATACTATACAAAGTATAATCTCAGACAAACTTGCTGGATTTATAACTAGTTTAGAACATTTTTGTGCCCTTTACTAAGATTTTAATTGTAGCACTTGCATGCTTGTTTTAACAGACTGTTTTTCAGTGACCACCAGTATTGTTACAAAAGCAGAGGAAGGATGCTCTTTTGTGCTTTTAACGTAGTTTTTGCACTTGCTTTAACAGTCCACACACATGATTTTAGGAAAGAACTTAGAGCTAAGCTAGCTTTGCAAATGGCTGCACCGAGGTACAGTTACATGCTAACTTTTATAGAAGGTTGCCATGTATTTGATAACATTTTGTAATGTAGCAATTGACCTCTGGTTACTTGTTTGCCGGTATGAGTATCTTACTTTGAATCTTACTTTGCTTAACAGCTCGCCCCCCTCCCCTCAAGGATTAGATTATAAGAATGTCTAGTTCAGTTTGCAACCTGAAACACTGCTGGGTTGTACCACTGAATTTCATGTGATAGCATTTTTGTATGCAATTTTAATGCATTTTTCAGCATACATAAAAGTGCTAACATAGCTAAGAAGTTATTCTGGGTTTTGTTCTCTAGTTGCTAAAAACAGAAATTACATTTGGACATAATTTTCCTAGTAGTAGTTTATACACATTAGCAGTTTACTTTCAGTCTTAAATAGTGCACAACATAATATTTGTTTAATATGAGGAAGCAGGAGTAAGTGATCTGCAATCAGAAAGCTTGTATTAAAATGGCTCCCACAGGTTTTGTTAAACCAGGATCTGTTTCAAATCTGCACCTCCAGACACACTGCTGACAGTGAAGCATGTTTGTATAAGCTGCCTTTGTGCATGTAATGAAACATAGCATCGTGAGTCTGTTAAAGTTCACTATTTTTAATCACTCAAATATAATTCTTTTATAGTTCACAAAAAATAAATGTCTGCATTGCAGCAAGATGTCTGAGGCAAGGTAGAGACAGCAGTGTTGTTTTACAGATCAGCCCAATCGCGCTGCTCCATGGAGTACTTGAGCCAATAGAAGCAGAGGGTAGGTTAAAGATTGACAATTGCAGTGGCAAGACTGAGAAAGGCCTTCTGGAAATTTCTACCATCTTTGTTCCATCTAAGTAAAGCAAATTCAGCCAAGCTGAAGAATTTCATATATTTTTGGTGCTTTGTCAAGGTATGATGTTATCACTCACTTTCATAGATTGCATAATAAGAAGCACTCTGTGCCGTTTTTTCTACTGTTCAGGACAGATGGAATGTGGGGTTTTGTTTAAGTGATAGACGCAGGGAAAAAGCATATATTCTTTCTACCCAAGATTTTACAGGACTGGATCTTGTTAATATCACAGTTAGACAGCACATGTATGAAGCAATGTAGCTGAGGTTTATTCAGCTTGTAGCAAATGGCCATTACTCTAATGTAACTAGAAGTTAATCATATAATTGCACTTTAAGTTTTCTGGCTACTAAAGAGTAATTTGAATTGCCCAGGATGAATATGATTAGCCATTATTATTTAGTGCCAACATCCAGTTACTTTTGTAATTAGCTGGACAAAGAATGCAGTGGGGGAAAAACAAAGGAGTGATCTGGATTATAAATTATGATGAAAACAGTAGCTTTTTAAAAGCTACTTGCCTCTCATTCTTTGCAGGCAAACTGTTTTAGTTGGGAGCTAAATAGTGGTAGGGAAAAACTGAGGGGTTTCTTTAAACAAATTGCACTACTTAACATACTGAGAATGAAAAAAATGCAGAGTATAAGACACTCCAAATGCGACATTCTCCCCCTCCCCCCCCCCCCCCCATCAGGCAGGAGTATTGAAATGTAGGCAAAACCTACATTGCTACTAAGGAAGCATGTAATAAAAGGAACTTCTTGCTCAAAAATCATAAATAGGTAGATTACATTACAAATTTAGCCCTTTATATCAGTGTCCACAAACTTCGATTGGCTCGTCTTCCTGAGCTGTCTTCCATTTTGTGGTATCACTTCTGCTTGGTGTTTGGTTTGGTTTTGGTGTTTTTGGGTTTGTTTTTTTTTTTCCTTTTTGCTTTGTTTTCAAACATATTGGCCATGTGGATCCAGTAGCTGAAAAGCAATAGGTCATGGTCAGTTTTCTGTAGTAATGATGCCACTCCAGCATAATTGGTGAAAGGGTGATAGATCTCAGCAAAAGCTCTCCTCTTCTCTGTCTGGAATTCAGGGTATTAATTTGAATCTCCTAAATATTTTGGAAGTTGAACATAACCTTTGTCCATGTAGGATGTAGTAGAGAGCAATTTTCAAATTTTGTAATTTGTGGATCCTTAATATTCTTCCCATGGGCATGTGAATCCTGTTGTAGTGAATTTAAGCCTGTTAGACTAGGTTTGATTTACGTAGTTATTGTCTGCAAATCCCTTCGTAGTAGCACACTGGCTTTGAGGGGTGTGCAAACCAGAGACTGAAAACCGTTGTAGTAGGCCGTCAAGCTTGGCCCTTTAAATTGTATTTAGAAAGTATTTTAAATATACTTCTTCATAAACATGTCTTGTATTCATGGGTTAAAGTCTAATTTAGAAATAGCTACATAGGAACTGAGTTTTATTTATTTGATAGAAGTTGTCTGTCATTCTTATGTTAACCCTTTATTGCCAATTGTCATAGCATCTGTGTTTCATACTGTGAGATTAAAACCATGCTGTAGCAGGATGTTAGTATCCTTAATATAGCCAGTATGAACCTTTACTTTCAAAGATGATTGTTCTCAAATTATGTTTTTAGCATCTGAAATCTATAGCTATTCTGGTTGCCTCGCTTGGGCCTCGGCTCTGTAGTTTATAGTCTTAAAGAAGACAGTATGACAGCAAGGATCTCCCTCCCTCCCCTCATTTTCTCTTTTGTGGGGCTATTTTGAATGCACACTGGATAAGAATAAGGTTTTAAAAAGAACATAAATGATCTTTAAATTAAATATACATATATTTATTTTGCTTGTTATCAGAGGTAACTAGCCTAATCATTGCTGTATGTAGATGTCTGAACAAGCATGTTGTGTATGTTAATTGCTTAATACAAATTGAACATTTTGCAGGGAATTCTGCAAAAGAAAATGTAAAATATGAGGCACTCAAATTGGAGAGTGAGTCTAAAATTGAGTGATTTCCTTAGTAACCTGTGACTTCACAAAACTCCCTATCTTGTGCCTTTTTAGTTAAACATTTGGATGTCAGGTGTCCTTTTGTCATACTTTACCATTTCTGATATTTAGATGCTTGCTTCGAATATAGCACTGCTGTTTAAACAAGAGATACTGTTATTGAATAAACTGCTACCATTTTAGCTACAGTACAGGAATGAGGCAGTGCAGTGCTGTCAGACGCCATTTTAAGAATCCTGCATAAATAGCATAGCTACCGATGAGTAAGAGACTGTTATAGGTGAGTGCTTATACAAAGCTGCTATTTATTCAGCAATGGCATGCAAATATTTTTTTCAAATTTTTATTGAATGCAGTTTTTTAAAATCATTATAATTGCTACTCACAGGTGTGATATAGGAGAGACAGGAATTATCTTAAGGGTGAAATTCAGCTTTAGTGCTTATAGTCTTAAATCAGGGTTTTTTTGGTTTGTTTTCTATTAATTAAAAGGAAAAATTAATTCCATAAATATATATAGTTCTTGATTTTAAATTAATGTGTTTATTCCCTAATGTAGATCTAGATTGTGTATATGGGAATTAGCTGTTTCGAGTGGTTTTCCATTTCTGTCAGTTTTTCTTGGTTAAATGTCAAGGTGCAGTAGTTCATCTGCAACTTTAAATTGCTCTTTGTAGTTAATATAGGTTAGAGCAGCTTTAAATATTTTTGTATATGTACATTTTTTCAGGTAAGTACTACTACTAGTACAGGAATGGTTTTCCTAAACAGAAAAGTCAGTATTTTATTCACTGATCTGAAATTTGAAAAATTGAATTTCATGTTAAAAACCCCACCCTCTCTTCTGTTTAATAGAGAACATATTTAAAAATGAGGCAGCTAAATTATTTTTGCATTTTTACCTAAGTGTCAATAAATCTTGTATGTTTGCAATCCTTTTTTTTTTTTTTCTTTCTGTCCCCAGCTATCCCCAAAGGAATAACCTCCACCTCTTCTCCCCTCATTCAGACATGTTAAAATAATTTGTATGAAACAAATTAGTTTAACATTTTAGAAAACAATTTCTTTCTTTTTTTTTTTTTTTTGTAAGTTTTGTCAATATGAGTAAGGAAGTTTTAAATGATTAATTGGTGTTCTAGTCAATTGACGGTGAAACTGGCAAAGCTTAAATTTTGATGTGTGTTCTTAAAATATGCTCCTCTGTGTTCATTCATCTTAATGAGGAAATAAGAGTAGCTTTCAAATGACATAAGGTATTTATTGTATTCATCTAGGTACTTAACTGAGTATATACCGGTATCATTTCTGATCCACAACCTTAGAGCACCACATTTATAGTACACATGCATGATAGTAATGTATGCTATCTGAAATAACAGCTCTAAACCCTGCAAAAGTGAATTCTCAAAATAAAACTCTCCAGAATAGTCTAGTTGATCACACAATTAGTGTTTCCATAGAATTAGATGCTTCTTTATAATTATTTTGCTGCTGGTTTTAATTTTCTTTTTATTTTGTTGTGGTACCTGTCATTAAGGACCTGTTTTTCTTGTATTATTTAATTTGAAATATTTTGCTAATGAAATTTCTGCATTTGGAAGTTTGTGCTTTGTAAAGCATTTTCAGAATATTGCTTCTATTGATACAAAGGTGAAAAGATCTGTCCGCTTTAGAAAAGTTACTGTAAACTTGCTGTGAATTGCTAGCATGTATTTACAAACTTGAGTCTTAAAGATTACCACTACAATCATCACTGCCACCGTTCAAACAATGTCATGTTGTGCAAGTCATAATATATTACAGCAAATAAAACAATGGGAGATGCTTCTGAAGAGCTGTGAATTTTAAGTATCTTTTATAGCTCTGTCTAATATGCTTATTTAACTGTTCCCCCCCAACTTTTTCATTTTTTGCAGAACAATCTCAGTGATTTTCTTACATACGTAAATGTTTGTGCCCTTAAAAGGTTGAGCGAGATTAATTATAGTAGAGAATATGGAGATGCAATCTGTTCCTCTAAGGCTCGGTTTTCATAGTATAGTAGATAATTGCTGAATTTTCTTGTAGTTGTGGATGATGCACAATGTGCATATGTGTGTATAGGATATATGCACCTCCACTGCTAAGAAAAGTGAAGACCCTTTGTGTCAAGTGGTGAATGCATTTTTGACTGTTCATTTATACTTCCAATCTCTGGGAAAGCTGTCTTCAGGCGGTTTTTATGTTATGTATCAGAGATGTGTCAAGTCAAGATACTTTGTTCCTCTTGGAACTGCTTATGAAGAATGTTTTTCTTGCCTCTGTAGATCTATTGAAAGAACACTCAAAAAGGCGATGGAGGAAACCGGCTGAATTTCCTAAATTAAACTCATTAGATGGGGGAGACAGATGTAGAGCTGAAGAAACCTCCTGTGCTGTAACTAACGTGTGGAAGTCCCGACCTGTAACGCCCCGCGGTGCTCGGTGTCTGGGCCCGCGGGTGCAGAGCCTCTTGCATGGCTGTAGCTTCCCGTGGTACTTCGGTCAGGGATGGAGGGGCTGTTCCTGCTGCTGTGTTGCTCCATTGATCTGTCACTCCCGTTTCTCAGCTCCGTGTCCTTTGACTTGTAGCAACTACTGTGTCTTTCCTGTTGTATCATGTTCCCCTGCGGTGGCGATTTGAACAAAATGGCACCTGGTAGATTTGGATGAGCCTGGAACGTTATGATTGCTTTAATGTGTCTTAAATGTGAGCCGCTGCCAAAGGCATCTTACTCTTTTCCCCCCTTCCCCACATGTGGTACATTCCCATTTCCTCTTTTCTGCACATCCAGCTGCGCAGTGAGCTAGATCACAGAACTGATTCAATTAAAATGAACGTGATTTCTGGAACATGAGGGTAGGGATTGGGGAAACCATTCCTTTTAGTAGCAACCTGTGTAAAATGATCTTAAGGCTTCAACCCGAGTCTTGTAAAGACTCGTCTGTGGCTGAAACTGGATCTATATTTTAAAACCAGGTAATGTGTACTGCCAAATTATTTCACTCTTGATAGAATTAGTGTGTATTATTACATATTTACCTGTGTGCGTTATTAATCATATATACATGATGTTTTAAAAATATGGTTTTTGTTACAGTTTGGTGATATTGAAATAGGATTTTGTAAGGGGGGAGGGGAAGAAAAAACAGTGCATCATGGGAAGAGACCAATGAACTCATCCTGTGAGCCCATCCCTTCCCATTGCTTAGGAAAGAGAATGGGCAGAGGCAAGTGGTGCATGAAATATTTTGGTGTCTGCAACACGCTGCCAACTCCTCTTTGCTGGAGGCCCTCTGGGAAAGGGTGTAACAAATGCGCAGTGTAACTGATCTGCCCATGCATAGTAAATCGGTGAGCATTGTAGTATGGTCAGCTATGTTATGCATTTAATCTGCCCGTGCAAAATAAATCTGAGAAGCATTGTGCTACAGTCAACTGTGCTACACATTTACCATAATTCTGGTCACATGGGCGCCTTTCCTTGCTATTGAAATTAACAGCATAGTCCATGAGCTGTGAGATTGGATGCTGGTGAAATAGAACCTCTCTTCAGTGTTTTATGACTTTAAAGAGCTTAATTTGTAAACTATTACTACATACAAATGACAAGTAAAGAATAATGATTTCTGAAGTTCATGGATCTTCTCAGCTTTGGGTCTTCCATACATTAAGCTTGGTTAATTTGTATTTAAAATTTCTGCTGACATAACTATCCTGTTTAGAAGTGTGAAAGGAATTGCAACCCACCCACCCTGCTAGCTGATAGTTCATTAAAAGTAGTTTTGACAAAGCCCAGACTAAAAAGTCCTTCTGCTGGTAAGTTTTATTTTGTTTAGGAAGATGTTTTAACTTATACCAGTAACAAAACTCCTGCTAATATAAACTGTTTGTCAGGCTGAAGAGTTTCTCTGATATAAATGTAACCAAGTCCTCAGTGTTGTTTCCGAGCTCTGATTAGCTGTCTCGGGCAGATTTCACCACAGTGGCTAAAGCAAAGGTCTCTAGCTGTCCTCTTGGCCTCTGTGGCAGAAATAGCTGTCCCTAGAGCTGGGATGGCTGAATGGAAACTCAGTCCACTCCATCGCAGCAGAAGTTCACAGTCTGCCATATCAATGTAAACTGGTATCAGCAACAACTTGCATTAACAGACTAGACGGTAAGTTGTCACTAGAGGAAAAGATCTACATGCAGCTTGGCTGTTGTGCTCTGATGATATTAATGGACTACTCTGATACCTGCTTCAGGCACCATAACCTCATTTGTCTATCATTTTGAATTTGGGCTTGCTTCAATGTCATATGCTTTCTTTTATCTTTCATCTACAATAGTCAGACCTCCAAAAATGGTGTGTAACTCAATATTCATTCTAGTTCTTTTTTCCTCTCCCTTCTACCTTCCTTCCCCAAACTGACTTAACTAGCCAAATTCATTAAGTTATTTTTTTGAATGCCATCACTATACGAAAGTAGAATATCAGCAAGTCAGATGTAGTTTGTCATCTACTTAATCATTTAATCCTGCCTGGAGTGAATTAAAACTGTCTATATAAGATTGAATGGTTGAATGATAGTAACAACTCTGTTTACTCTTTGTTATAGTTAATAATTGGTGGAATTGTATTGACAATAAATTATAAATATTCAGTTTTCTGTTATATAGTCTAGTTTCAAAATACTTGAAATTATTTATTTCTTGGTTTTTAAAGTTGCATGTTACCTTCTAATTTTGCAAGCTGTTCTGTGTTGCTAAATCTGTTACTTCAGCTAATCTGTTCACTGATGCTAGTGAGTATTTAAATGTTAGCAGGCATCTGTCCACGCGGTTTATAGAGGCCTTAGATTAGGAGCTACAAGGAACAGAATTCCTGTTTGTCTGTCACGCACAGTTTATACATACAGTGACATGATCTCCAGTACATGTTACAAGACTGTCATTAGTATGAAAATGCTACCATGTTACCTTTGTAACTGGTAACATGCAGCATGCATGTGTACCTCGATTGTTTTTCTCCGTGTTTTGGTCAGTGTGTACTCTGGCAAACAGCAGACAAAATTTCATCAGAAATTTTAATATAGTTGTATTTGACAGTGTTGTGTTGAACTTCCGTACATTAAGTTAGTCATGGGAATAATGCATTCTATAACTATTCTAATTCACCTTTTTGAATCCTGCAGCTTGGCTGAAGAGGAAATAAAGGCAGAGCAGGAGGTGGTGGAGGGGATGGATATCTCCACTCGATCCAAAGGTGAGTAAGAAGGAATATTTCATGTATGTTCTACAACATATGAATGTTTGTAAACCAGGATAGTGAAACTGTAATCTACCATGATGCTGCTCTTGAGTGAAGACTCAAGACTCATTGTATTTTTTACAATTACTATTGTATGTTAGAAAGCGTTTTAATTTTTGCTTGGTTTTCATTACATGTCAGACACCCCCTACCCCATTGTTATTTCTGGTTTATGAATAACTAACTTAACCTGTGATGAAAAAACATCAGCCACTTGTATCATCTCACTTATCATGGCTTCCTTTAAAGTACTTTTAGATTTGCAGTGTAGGAGAATATGGTAGTAGTAATAATAATAATAAGGTAGTATTTCCTACAGTAATGAATCCTAATTTTCCTAAGAATAAAGAAGAACAGTGACATTTCTGTTTCCACAAAAATTGGTCCCCTGAGCAACATGTATTTCATGGACATTTATGGATCCATCCCTGACATGAATTAAACTTGGTGGTGGAATTGCAGGTGACAGAATTTCTGTCCTTCTGGTATCTGGAGTTTTCCCTAAAAATGAGCTGCTACAGGCAAATGATGTTATCTCTCGGTATAAAGAAAGCCAGATATGTAACCATCTAGATCAGTGTAAATATTCCCACTGTCATTTGGAGTGGGGGGACAGAAATGCCCATCAATCAGAATACTTGCACATAATTGTTTACTCCAGTTCATTGCAATTGACTGCCCACTGCCTGTCCATCTCCTTTTGTACTTGCAGCTGGCTTTGCAGCTCAGTTTACTTAAAAGCCATTTCTGTAAAATGGCAGCAATGTTTTCTACCATCCTTTATAAATTCTGGCACACAACCACTCACTCTTCACGTTTCTACTACAGGGGTCATAAGTCTGGTTAACTCTGAATGTGCAGGTGTAATTGTCTTGAAAGTGTGGCACAGATCATCTGCATTCCTTTGTTTTTTGGTGAGGTAGCTTGGGTACATAACATGGTTATAAAACTGTGTTTAGGTCTTATTTGTACTAACAGACAGTAAATTTCTTGCTTTAGTTATCATGGTGTGGTTAGATGAGGTAGTACATATGATGGGACAGCTCAGAAGAGATTCACTTGCTCCTTTTGCTTCTCTCCCTGTCCTTTTCTCCCTTCTCTGCCTCTGGTATTGCATGTCAGTCTCCACCACTGGACTGCTTTCAATGTTTACTTATCACTGTATTTCAGTTTTCTAAGCCAGCAGAAAGTAATCTATTTTTTGTTGATTTAATGATTGCTGCTGAATAGGGTAAGTTACCGGCTTTGTACTCCCACCGCTTACTTCCTTTGTGGTGCTTGTCAGATCCCAGCCACTTGAACTTTCTAACCAACTTAAAAACTGAAACAGTTTTCTGCTGTTTTAGTGACCAGTTTGTTTGTGAAAGAGTTTGGTGAGTATGAGAACTTGATATAAGAGACAAAGGGGGTTATTAGATGCATTTAGATGCCCATGAAATTTCACCTTAATTTCTCCTTGGAAAGACTTTGGCCCGCATATTAGTATTAATAAGAATTTCACATGCATCAAGTGAGCTGCATTATTACTCATGTCACTCTGACATAATCAATGTCTAAAAGTAATTTATGAGTCTGCTACCTATTTATGTAGGTGTCTGCATTTTTAGTGCTGTTGCTTTACTCAGCCCAGAAACAGGTGTATGGCCCATACAAAAAGTTGCAATTCCTTTACATTAGTTCTAGTGCTGGTCTGACCTCAAGGTGTACTGTCTCAATGAATTAAGCCCCCAGGAAACATTTTACTTTTTTTTGTAGGGTTAAGGTGAAGTTTCCCACGACAGTGAGCTGATTTAATACCTCATGGTTAATGAAAGAGTCAGTCTTTCATCTCCCAACCTTCTCAGCCACATGATCTTGCAGCTCCCCTTGCTTTGTGGGCTCTGATAATTCAAACTGGTCAATTCAAAGGGACCTAACCTGGCAGAAAAAGACCCATGGTTTTATACTGAGTGAGTTTACTGTTGATACAGCTCTCTGAACCAGCTCATAGGCAAGCTCTGGTAGTGATTGAAAAGGGAGTGATTTGGAAGACAAAGTCAGGATCAGCACAGTGCTAGTTTAGACTGGCCCAAGCTGTCATTGTGTGGAAGTCACTGGTCTGTACACAGCAGGACTCTTAGTGTTTTAAACTCCAGTGAGAGTGATCTGAATGGCCTTTGTACGTCACCATAGTAAAGATAAAACTCAACAGAGGTTGAATTAATTGAATACTAATAATGGAATTGTTATTTATTTAACTACTAATCTGCTTTAATTGATTTGTTAAATTTGACATGTATGTTGATGAAACCCATGCCAGTACCATTCTAAGGGAAAGAATAACAACCACCCACCCCAACCCCTTACAGGTGTATACTTTTTTCAGTGAAGAAGTGATGTGGGTTGTAAAGAAATCTTGAGGCTTGCCTGTAAGCCCTCTTGCTTTGTTGTATTCCCAACCTAATCTATGAATTAGTGGTAGAACTTTATACTAGTTGAATATGTACTTTTGCGTAGAAAGTAAAAGGATCATAAATGTCACCTGCTTAGTACAAGAGCTGGCTGTATTATAGGCCTGCTAAAATTAATCTTTCCAGACTTCTGTTATTTGGATTGAGACAAGTTTCTCTGTTAGTTCAGTGCAGTGTTTCTGCAGCAGCAAAGTCAAACCAGGATTTTAAAACTGTTGTTACACTCTGTGTAAGGTAGAAAAAGTGCAACAAGGTGGGATAGTGGTAACAATGTTTCCTTTTGTAACATTAATCTTGTTCAGAATTTTGCTTTGTGTGTTTTAGAAAGGATGTAGATGAGGAAATTGACCCTATATAGACAAACCCTTAAGGGAAGCATACAGCTCTTGGTTTGTTTGGGTTTTTTGATGGTCTGAGAAGCCTGTGCAGGAGATCAATCCCTGGTATTCTATAACTTCACACTTGTCCTGGAGAAGCTGATAGGCTGCAAGTTTGTAACCTAACTTGTTCTGCTACAGATTGTACAGCTTGTGTGAGGCCATGTCTAAAGAAAGTTGTAGGAAAATAAATTCAATCGCTTTAAAGCCTATTAGCCTGATGCAGACCACTTCATATTAAAGGTCTTTTCCAAACTAAATGATTCTATGATTCTGTGAACATTCTTGTTTTGGTATAAGCAGTTTCATTTTAATTGCTATAAATCAATTCCAGTTCAGTCTAAACTAAGCTGAAGCATGCATTGTTTAATCTGTAACAAGGGTGTTAATATAGCCTTTGAATCAGTTTAAGTAAGGTGGTGGTTTGAAAGCAGCTTAAGCTGGTCAAACTGCTCAATGCAGCAGTTTTATCCACTTCCTTCCATACCCATGCTGGCGGGGAACTAACTGAACCGTAAAACATGAATAGTTTTCTACTAGCTTAGTGTGCTGAAATGACTTGGTAGACTGTCAGAACTGGTGTAAGGGAGAGGGCAGGAATATACCAGCTGGGTGCAGGAAGTATAGAGCTTTGGTAGCCAGCATTTAGATAGGGTTAGTCTGTAGAGAAACTAGAGCTTAAAACATAGCTGATGCTTCTTACTTACGCTTTATAATGTGATATCTAAGAGTGAGTCTATAGCAGTGGTCAGAGCTATGCGGCCCTACGTACTCATCTTCAGCTGCATTTTTCTACCCTTCTCCTTAGGCTGGCACTGATGCTTATGCTGTTGTAGTGTAGTAAGCTGTATCAAGCAGCTGATGTAGCCAAAAATTGATCATTTTTTGTAGTATTAGTTTTTGCCTGAATCATGAACTGGTTAACCCTACTATTACACACAATTGCCTGTCTGCAAAAAATTGTGGGGACAGACGTCTGGTGAGGTGGGGAAGCAAAGAGGAGGAGAGGTCACTGTAGCGGTTATAATTTAGATCTGCTTATAAGCTGCGCATGTGCAGCTTTACTAAAGATGAGGTTTTAAAATACACTACTCTCTTGATCAGAACAAGAAAGCATAAGGCATCTGAGAACTGGAAACGGGAAATGACAGCTTAAAGAGAATGAAAGGAGTCCAAAAACACAAAATGGAATCAACAGAGAACTGTTGTTTAGCAAAGGAGAAAGGCCACGGATTAGGTTATTATAATATTTTGTCCTCTTCGTATGATACATTAACATGTCTGACAGAAACATCTTGTTATGTTTCTGTTCCAGCCCTATGGCCTACTTTTTAACCTTTTTTATTAACTATTTCAAGATGGGGCTTGCAAGGCTTTCTGGAGAATTTTCTTAGTATTTCCAGGTTGTGGTTCCAGAGCAGCAGAACCAACTTAATGTTTGGTACAGTTCTGTCTTCATTTGCACTTGTTCTCTTTGGACAGCAGTGAACTCTCCACTGGGCTTTTTCATCCTACTAACCTGGAAGAACTTTACTTTTTTTTTTTTTTTTTTTTTTTTAAATTCTCAAGTTAGTTTTCTGCTAGTTTATCTTTCTTACCTGCCAACAGTAGTTAGCAGTGATGGCAGGGGGACTTCCATATAGGTTTCGTATCTTTCAGCTAGTACTGTAACCATTGCCTGACTAGTCAAAAGGAGCTTTTAAACTCTCTTCTTCCCATCATCAGTCGTACATCCCTTATATTTCCTTTGCATCTGTGTTGGCCGTTAGCCAGTCATCTTCTGAGTCAGTTAAGGACTTGGGTGTAGAAGTAGTTTTCTACCTGCTTATCTCCCTGAACCAGGTTACTAGGGGGTTGGAGAGATGTCATTGCTAGGAGCAGACTTGCCCCCCTCCGTGGCAGCTAGTCATTAGATGGTCTTAGCTTGTCCTGAAATCATACACTGAGACACTGCTGCTTAATGGTGAGAATTCTGACTTTTGCAGCTCTTGCATTGCTGCAGGGTTGTGTTGAAGGTTTTGGTCTTCAGGGCTTCTCTTGGTGGTAAAAGGTTCGGATATTTTGAATACAAATACAAAATGAATAGTAAAATGGAATTTCTAGAATACATTATATATTTTGTTACAGTTTCATAGTAGCACATTGTGTATCAACTCTCTGTGCTGTGATACCAAGTATTTAATCACACAGAGATGAGATTCTCACTCTAATGTGAAAGGTAATTTGAGAATCCTCTAGTGAATACTAGTACAGCCTGAGGCTTTTATCCCTAGTGCAGAGCCCTCCTTACTTAGTAATCAACAGGGGGTCTTCAGGAGTGCCTTGGGGCAGCAAGTCCCCCTGCAGCCAGGCTCGAGCTTATAAGCAGCTTACATCTCTTATATTGCAAGCTGCTGGGAAGTCTTTCTTTATCTTCCGAAGTCCTACAATGAAGAAACAAACAACAGTGTCTTTCTGTACTTGTGTAAAATTGTAATGTAGTAGGAGTTCATCAGGATTTACACAGCCATGGCTAACCTCTGTTATTTATTACATTAAGCAACTGGATTGGGTTAATTGCATCAGTTGAAGTTTCTGGAATGTAAACAGGGCTTTAGTGGTTGATTGCAACTGCATCGTATTTCAAAATTCTGGCATAAGATTAAAATGCTTCAGAGCTGAGTATAAGTTCTAACAGATTTATCCATGATTTTAAGTGTTTTGAAGATAATTAAGCTTGCTATAGTGTTAGAGGTAATGGATTTGAAAAATTATAAATCTATTAGCAGCCATTTGGGATAATAAATATAACCGGGAGACTTCACAGTTCTGGAATCCATGTAAATTATTACTTGAAGCCTGCTCTATCAAATCAGACTGTGATGATGCTGACAATGGAGTTAGTGTTGCTCCTTTTTCTCTCAGAATTCGTATTGATTGCCCTCAACACCATTTCAAGTACGTGCATTCAGGGTTTCTGAGGAGGAGGAAAGACGAGAGAAGTGACAGTCTAGATGGAAGTCAATTTTCTGGTTTTGTTCTTGTTCCTTCTGCAAGCATAGTTACACATTTCTGGGGGTTAATGACAGCTTAAGCAGTCTGCAGTCACCTTTGTACTCTTGTACCTTCTCTCATGCTACTTCTTTTTTAAGCTAGCCTAGCTGTTTCTTACAGCCATCAAATGAATTCTTCATGAAACTGCTTTCGTGAAATTTTTGTTCTTTCGTTCCGTTACATTTCATATAATTTAATTCTTTGTTCTGGTTCACCAAATGTTGGCAGAACTATTTGTGTCATAATAAAAAGGATAGCATGGGATTGGGAATGAATGTTAACAGAAGTAGCCTTGGGCTGGCTCTGTTTAAGTAACGCTTCTGCCGAGTGTCTAACTTACATAGAACAATTGAATAGGTTTCTAATTGGAAACATCATTCAGAATTGTGCATATTTGACCCACTTGCATTAAGATATCAAGAACATACTTACATCACAGAAAACTTTTACTGGTGTAACTAAGTCTCAGTTTACTGATGTTTAATACTGTTCCTGGAAGACTAAACTAATGCTTTCACTGAAAAAACACATTGCTGTTTCTGGCTCATGGAAAACCAAAATGACTGCTAATTTTACCATCTTTATCACAATTCATGCTGAAAAGCTTTTTTGATTTTTTTTTTCTTTTTTTTTTTTTTTTTTACTGTTTAAACAAATGTGTTTGAGTTTCCCACTTCTCAGTTTCTGAAAATTCCTGGAATAGAAAAGTTTTGTTCTACAAGGAGTAGATGTTACCGCTTTATAACAGCTCATTTTTTATAGAATAGGTATGTAAAACATAAGAAAATTAGGTACAGAATATGAATAACTAATACTCTCCATGAAAGTTTAGCAAACTTGCAGTTAAGATAAAGATAAATTTTGTGATTGTCTGTGCTTTATTTTGAAATGTAAAACTTTTCTTCCCTTCCACACTAGCTCAAAAAAAGGGTAATTCTTTGCTGACAGTAAAAAGCTTTTATCCTGCAATTTCCACACTTTTTGGGAAGCCTTTTGTTTTGTTTGCCTAACCTTTTTGTGAGGTTGAATTTGAAAATCATGATGGTATAGTAAGACTGATTTACTTGGGCTTTTCTTAATTGGCTTGCTACCCATTGCACTGAGGACGTGACACTAGGGCAATATCTGCTGGTCTAAGTCAGACCTGCCAGGCTCGCACGCTCCTTCACGTCAGCCACTCTTCCATCCTTTTCCTTTGTACTGGCACTGTCAGCTTTGGGACTTGTTGGTATGCCAGTTCAGCTGAAATTAATTTTTGTAGTTTTTGTTGGCTTTGGCCGTATCGGTTATCTAAACCATCTTGCTTCCTGGGTGAACAAATAATGGCTCTAGAGGAAGGAAAAGGGAAGGAAGTGTATCTGTGATGCCTTAACTTAATCTGTGTAACTTGCTGTGGATTTCAGCGCTCATTAAGGCCTTCTTGGTAGAGAAACTAATGCAAGGGTAAGAGATACTTAGAAATACATATGTAGATGCCATTTTGTTTTGGTTTTAGTCTGGAATTACTTTGATCGCATTTGGCTTAAGGAATTTTTTAAATTAAAAAAAAAGGTATATGAGAAGGAGGTGTAATATGTCGCTGTCAGTAAGTCTTTGGTACTGAGCAGTTTATGCTGTGTTCTTACAGTAGGGCATGTTGATGTTACTTGTTTTCAGGAAGAATTGCATTTGGGTATCATGGGAAAAGCAAGGAAAACAACATTTTACTTTTACACATTTTCTGAGTTGGCACCTGCTTCCGTTGAGGAAAACGAGACTTCTCAATTAGTTGTCAGGGATTGTTGCTATTGAATGCTTGCAGTACAGCACTTGGCAATGTATAGAACATAGAAAATATGGTTGTGGTCTACGCTCCATATGCTGCAACAAGATAAGATCCCTGATGTACAATAATAACATACTTTTCTTTGTTTGTTTTTATAGTTTTTTCTAAGCTAAATTGTATTAAGTCACTATCATAGTTTATCTGCTTAAAAACTGTGCTGCCATCACATAAAATTGGACTTCTAAAACAGTCATAAAGTGTGAAATTAAGTTGCTTTAGGGTTTAACTATGCTTTAGTCTGTCTCCTGGGAGCAGTAGTTACTAATCCTTTGGTCACATGATGGCATACTGAAACAAAGATTTTAAACTATAGGTGAACCTTCAGTTAGCTTGTTGTTCCCCAATGGATGGTTTGTGAGAGCACTCATAGGTACTTATGTCAACCTTGGCAACATTACAGAGCAATTAATAATAACCTAGTGATGTAAAAACAGGTAGCTTTTAATGAAAACTTTGGAAGTTATTTCAGGTGTTTTTTTTTTTTTCATTTGTGCTGGAAACATGATTTTGAAATAATGCTAAGAAAGCAAAATCACACACTCAAAAGTCAAAAAATAAGTGGAGTAAGGTTGCTTGGCAAATTAATTTGTTAGTACAATTGGTTATCAATGCAATTCTCATTTATTATTTTACTGTAATGCCCTTCATTTAGTACATAGAACATTTCATTTCTTATTAACTTTCTGAGTGCTGAGTAACTGCAAGTGATCTCAGCCTTTTCAGTTAGAAAAGTGGGTGCACAACTTGATGCTGATCTGAAAAGTTTGGTTCAGGTTGACTTGCTCAGTATATGAGAGGAGTTTTGTAGAAGCATCAGGGAAATTGCAGGAATATGTGCTAACTGGCGATGAACTGGCATGGTGAGATACTCAATGAGTGCTTGATCATTGAACACCTTTTTAAAAATACTTGACATAGAAGACATCACACAAATTCTCACTGTTCCTTTTTGGAGCAGAAACTTGAATCTACCTCCTAAGTAACTGTCCTGGTCACCAAGTTATTGCATAGTTTAAACTTGGTCTTTTTTGTTCTTCCCCGTTGGATTTATTTAACTTTGTGCAAGTTATAAGCTCAACTACATTGTGGAAGTGATCCAGGTTAAAAATTAACTTTCCTCCTGACAGGTTATTTTAACAGGGATAAATTTCTTGATCTGCTTTATAGCACAGCTACACAAACTCTGCTAACACAGCTGGAAGAGCCAAGGAGGAAGAAGAGGCAGTGTGTGCTAAACATGGCATTGCTGTTGAAAGAAATTCACACAAAATGCAACCTGAACATTTTTCATCTTGATTAGAATTGAAAAATATAACACAAACAATTTAAGTAGGTGCTACTCTTCTTATTTTACTTGCAATGAATTAAAAGATTGTTCATATCATTAGTTCCCTCACAGATCGGTAAGTTGGCAACGTATAGTGATAGTTAAAAACATCAGCCAATTCCACTAGCACAAGTAAATCTGAAAGAAAATGTCTGTGCATTGCTGTTTTCCTGTCTCTTCCTTAATTTTTCCAGTTATCTCAAGAAAATCTCTGTGCATTTCAATAACTTGCCAGCTGAAAAAAAAGGTGTATTTCAGGTCAGCTTTTGTATGTTGTCTATGAGTCACCAGTAGTTTATCTGAAAATCCCTAGTATGCTCAGGCTTGAACCACAGAAGAAAATTACGCTAGTTTACTAAGTAGTTTTTGAAATCACTTAACCAAACATATATGTCTGTGTGATCATTTTGGTTAATAGGTATTGAATCAGTATATTTTCTGTTGAAGTGTAGTTTGGATTTGGCTGTGTTTGAATTGTAATTCAGTTCTGGTTTAACTAATAACAGCTTAGCCCTTTTTCCTGACCCTGAATCGGTTTAGGAAAAAACAGCATTTAAAAGTAAGAAGCATCACATTATGGGGGCAGGCCAATGAAGAGGAACTTTACACCTGATTTTATTTTTTCATACTTAGAGCCAAGGCACAACGTGCAGTGTCACAGGCAGCTTCTTTGTAATCCCCACAGTCTGAGGCTGAAGAGCTGAAAGGAAACCGGTGTATTCCACTGGTGGCACTTTTGTGCCTCGGAGCAAGAAATGGAAGCCAAAGGGCAGAAAACTATGCTCTCCTGTTACCCTCCTGGTTTAAGCTGTGCCTGCATATATATGTACAGTCTGGAAATAAAAGCCTAAGTCTCCTCAGTGAGTTATGGTGAGGGCTTTATTTGCTGGAGAGAAACTCAGGCTCAGAGATCCTTGCAAGTACTTCGAGGATGTTGTTTGCTGTAGAGAGCGATAGTTGTGCAGATCTCTCTGCATTGGGAAAACAAGGATTAAGGCATGGTCAGCACTTCACAGTAAGAGTAGTTTGCTTATGGCTGCCTTTAGGAATGTATGGAAAGTCTCTGTTGAGAACTGCAAATTATAATAAAGAAACAGAGTTTTTTAGTACACACTGTTCTGAGCCATGTGGTGGTAGAAAGATGAGAAAAGATATGGTATGATGCTGGTTTTGCTGATCAGTCTGAATGCAAACAGTTCCCATGCTGAATAAGCTCTGGTTTTTTTATGAAAAAAAAAATAGAATTCAGAGCTTGTTTTGGTTTTAGGTTTGATCGCTTTGGTTAAGTTGTGGGTTTTGGTTTAGCTGACACTGATGCTGCAGTGTTTCTTCCAGGATAGCTGTATTGGCTCAGCTCTCTTGGAATATATGAAGCATATGCCAACCAAAGGAGTTCTTCTGCCACCTTCTGTGCATAATTAACTAAACTGAAAAAAAATCCCTAGTCTTCTGTCAGCACAGTTGTACCTGTATTAGGATTTTTATTGTCATAATTGCTTAAGGAGGGGAGGAGGCAGACATTATATTTTTCACACATTTAGGTGACATACCTTACCTGGCAATTCTTTGTATTGTCAAATCAATCTAAATTTTGGCCTAAATGGGGTGTGAGGCAGATTCGCTTGAATTGAAACAAGACAAGCAACAATAATCATCTCGGACACATTGTATTGTTTTAATTCAGCCTAGGCATGTCAGAATGTAACTGGTCCTAAATGCTGCCTGCGAGTACAAAAGGGGAGGGGTGGAAAGGAAGGAAAAAAATCCCATTTCTCAGTGTCAAAGAAAACTCAAAACATGAAAAGTTTTCGTTTGTTTGTTTAAACCAGCTTAACTCCATTTTGCCAAAATTTTATAACATGTCAACAGAAATATTTCTCTTGAGAGCCAATACTACATTTCTGCTAGGCAGCACTGCTGAAATAGCTGTGCCTATATAACTCTAGTGGCGGAAACTTTTCCTAGGATTGTTGAAAATACCTGTGGTGTTAGCCTGGTGCAGCTATTCTAGATGAATAAAACTCAGGATGGGCAAATGTTCCCACATTTCTCTTCCCTCCCTCAGTTATATCTTCCTCCATCTATCTTTTCATATGTTTTTCATATTTGTAGTTTTCTTAGTCATTATCTTGACACATTACCAAGCTTTTGGAAAATCAAAAGTCACCATATAGCACCATGTTTTCTGTAGAATTGAGTAGAAAAAAGTCAAAACCACTGCTTTTTTCTGTGCAGTCATATATTCGGGGAAAAAAATTCAAAAGTTGCAAGAACTGAAAAAAATAGTAATGTTCACAGCTGGTTAGGTAACAATTACATCTTTCATGCATCTGGACCCATCTGAAAAAAGTATGATGCTAGTTATAGTAGGCAAGATTGGTATTTTCACAAATTAAAGTAGACCAGTACAGCTCTTCTTGCACAGTTCTTCCACTACACCTTTTCCATCTTTCTTTACATTTTCTTCCATGCACGTAAATAGCATATATTCTTGAAAAGCAATTTAGTCTAGAAATACCTTTTCAGATCACTTCCTGAGCTTGCATCATGAGTAAGTTTTAGTGGCATCATGGTTTTTTTGAGCATATTCTTTCAACATGTTTTGCTATGTTAATAACTGTGTGGCTTCTTGACATG